CCCCCCCCCCCGCCTAAATTCAGGCTTTGTCATGAGGGGTGGGAGTGAATAACATCCAAAAGATTACAGGAATGCATCGTCAATTTAATCAACAAGAATGTAAAACTACTTACAATAAACTTACAATAATCTATATTAAGAATTTTTTTTAATCATCGAGATCTAAATTAATCAAAACTAGAATCATGTCCCTCATCGGGCTTACAAAATAAGGCTGTAAAAATTATTCTATATTTTAAATATATAAATATCTAGATCTATGACATTTTGGAATGTAATCTTCGGAAAACTAAGAATGGATTTGAATCGATGAAATTTTCATTAAAATATCGAGGCGTTGGGCATTACGTTTTTTTTTTGTATCAATTCCACTTCTGGTTACACATGTTCTTATCCTATGATTGTAAATGGCTGGCCTCAAAGTCATCATAAGTCTATAAATCCTCCAGAATTACCTCCCCCCTCCCCTATGATGATAAATAATGAGCTGTCCCAAGAGCCCATTATCCGGAGCTTCTATCTTTCATACTTACCCTCTGAGTCAACCCTGTCCCGTATCTTTTTATTTTTAGAGGCGCCTTCCACGGGGTTTTTCGCGGGTGTTTACATAATAGCCAATCATAAAAGAGCTGTGGTCCTTTATTGTTACGTCACATGCAGGCGGCACGAAAGTATTTTAATAATGGCGAAAAGCGTGGAAAGTTTACCATTTTTTGGGGGGTGTTATGCGAACGTCAGCGTGTTTTCGCGGGAAATTGAATAACACCCATATATCTCAGTTCTAAAAATAAAAAGATACGGGACAGGGTTTACTCAAGGGTAAAATTGGTATGGAAGCTCCGTGTAATGGGCTCCTGGTTGTCCTAGACACAAATTGTTCAGGTGACAGTTCTAAGATATATAGAAATCGGATAAATAATATTAAAAAAATTAGAAATGTTACTCGACAATGGTATATGATCTCCTGTATTGCATACTTCAATCAGGTTCAACCCATTTTGAGACACTGTTTATGCATGAGCGATTATATATATGTACTCCAATACAAGAAGCCTCTTAGTATTCTTTAAAAACAAACAAACATCTTGCATCTCTTAAAAAAAAACAGAATTAGACTGTAAATAGCGGCTACGCTTTCATTTTTAGTCGTTTTTATGACGGGTAAAAACTAAGACATTATTTTTCTTCCAATTAAGTCTTTCGCATCCATTGGGAATTAAGAGGTACATGAACCCTGTTGTACCCGGCTGGGACATTGGCCGGTAATGACATCCCGCGACGGAGCCCCAGTCCGACGGCTTTTTTTTTTTTTTTGCCTGACCTTCGCCATTTTCTGTGCGCCCACTTTTTCGTTTGTTCCAACTGACAGAAAACCTGTCATGGGCTAACTTTCCTCTGGCAAGGTACTCTATGGAAAAGATCCTTCGAACTGTCCTTGTTAGTAGAAATTCATTTAATTCAAAGTTCCTCTGACTAAGTGTGCGCACTCAAACTTGATCTGGGACTACATCAGGACGTGAACCCAACGACGGCGGAGATTCAGCAGCAACAAAAGTAACTGTCTCTTTTCGTGGTGGTTTATCCATCATCAACGACGAAGATGGTGTATAAACAGCATTCTTTCCCTGCGTATTCGACCTAGGGTATCCCGTTTGAGAATCGGTCTCCGTAGGCCGGAAATTCAATCCTTTACCAAGCAAGAACCACTTCCATTGACTACGTACCTCTTGGTGCCGTAAACAGTGAAAGTAGAAAATCAAAAATCCTTGAAGTGAGTTAAATATGCAAAAAAGATAGTCAAAGATCAGCTGTGCACTTGAAACAGCCAAGGCTCCAAAGCCCCAGGTCAATCCCAATAGAAGCAAAATTGCGATGGAGGTGCGTGCTCTTCGGTAGGATGTAGATTTTTTCTCCGCAGAGACCAGAGCACCAGAATGCTTAAGAGCACGAATGGCCAGAATAAAAACTACGAAGTTGATGAGGATTACGAGAAGAATAGGAGCAAACTGAGCAGCTTGGAAGGGCACACCAAAAAGTACACAACTGCGCGAAAATAAAAAGAGGAATCAGGTTAATATAATTATTTTGTTCCTTATCAGCAATGAGACTGTTGCGCGTAATATTGGAAAAAGTTTGGGGGCGGATTCAGAAATTTTTGATAGGGAGTACAAAGTGTGATTGAGACAAGACCGGGATTTTTTTACAACAAAGCCTAAATAAGCTTAAAGATATTTCACGACAGGTGGATTTGAAATTATCATTGTTGAATGACGATAAGCGATCTTGCCACCATTGACTTTTCACTTCTGCCGCCCATGTATTACATTAAATCTTGCTCACCGCATCACCTCTTTTGAGAGACACATGGGACGGTAACTAAACATTTAAGGATGGCGGTTTGGGAGAAACCCGAATATAGTATCGAAATTTATAATTGAAGGTTTAATGATGTTGGGTTTTGAGAAACACAATAACTAAGGGGTAATGAAAGTAAGAAGCGCCATGACTTACACATCTTTGTTGCCATAGTAACTTGTTGCAGCGGACAATGTGATAAGCACTGTAATAGCAGGCACGCCCCAGGCCACCGCGGACGCCTTAAGCATGAATTTGGACTGATAAGTGCCCATCACTTGAACAAAGGACATGTACATGTTATATCCCTCCACACCCATCCACATCACGGTCGCCAGAGCGAAATAGTGGAGAAGAATTGCTACAATACGACAACCCAATAGATTCTCTGTTTGCGCTGCGCCCGCGATGAACACGATCAGAAGTAGCATGAGTGACACACACAAACTCATCAGGATTGGCTGTTGGTTGGTTTTACGTAAATTCCTGCGGAGGAGTGAGGTTAAATCCAGTAAACACGTTTTAATTTCGATCGTAGAATTAAGACTTAAATTTTTTTTTCCTCAGCCACGTATACGACACGAATTATACAAGCGAACAGGAGCCCGTTATTGAGGAAATCGTCACTCTAATAATGAACTGAATATCATCTAGCATCTCGTTATCACGAGCTAGATACATCAAACATCACTGGCCACCACATTAATGGCGGATCAATATCAGTATCTGAGAAACTGCGCACCAACCTGGCCCGACTACAGTCAACTGATAACAAGTTAGAGTTAACGTGGGGTTAGGGGAGAGGCAGGTGCGAAGTTTCTCAGAAACTGACATTGATCCCTATTTTCTCTGGCAAGTCCCGCTCGGTTTTCAGAGAGGGAGAGATAGACACTTGGACTGGCTAAGTATAGGATCATTGCACAAACCTGAACATCGAATACGTCACCAATGTGAGGGTAAGTCCGACCAATGAAATTGCACAACCTATGTAAGAGATGATTGACAAGGCCTTGGCGTGTTCCTCAGCGTGCTTCTTTGGACCACCAGCAGAGAATAGGACTGCAAAGTTAGTCATGTGATCACAGTGACACAATATCCGGCCTGCTTCGATCTTTACTTGTCTGCATCCTCGATCTGACCAGTTGCCCAGTCCCCCTAGAAAGAAAAATGCAAGGAAATAGTTGATATCTGTGGAGTTTCTCACTTCCATCAACCACTATCTATACCTGTGACATACGCTTCGGAAACATGCGGCCGAAGGTTCAAGGTAAAGTGTCTACAAACTAAAAGGGAACAAAGTTTCAAGTCAGGATATTTTTCTCGTTTATAATTCTTCCTCAGCTAACCGTTAAGAGATAATCTCGACGGGGATCCTCTTCAAGCGTTCAGCTCGCATTTGAGGGTGGAGGGGGAGGGGGGGGGGAGGAGAAGCCAGGTTACTTGCAAGTACTTGAAATATTTTCTCACTTTCTATCGAAAGAAAGGGGGGGTACGCCCTTTGCCTTGCTCAAATGAAAACCAGCAATGACGTCTGTTGGAACCCTCTACTTACTGAACCTTAGTAATACAATTGCTTAAATCTTTGGGCATCTTCGGTTTCCTTGAAAGAAATTAACCGTGCTGACACACATAGAGTAAGTTAAGGAAAAGAAAAGGAAATTATTAAAATATGAAATAGTTAAAAAGGAAAGCAGGTAAAGTTTCTCACCCATGGCATCAAAGTCCCAAAATGCACATACAGACTCTCCGTTGGTTGTGTCCACTTCGACTGCAGGCTCAAAAACCAATTCAACTGGTTTGGTAAGGTTTTCAATGGTCATATCCTTCACGCTACTTGAAATAACTCGACTCACAATTGAAGAATTCTCCTGTCCACTTTCTTCATCAACCGGCAAAACCGGTTGGAAAAACTTGTCATTCTGGTAAATCACAAAACCGATCTTTACTGCTTTACCGGAAGGAGCCTTATTCTCAAAAATCACTTCCGGTAACGTAATTGACGTTTGGACGTCTGCCATCGGAAGTTCATCATTAACCATGTTGTCCGAAGTCAGTTTGTTCGGGTCAGCAGTGGGTGGTTTGACAGCAAGAGACATGCCTGTAAAAGAGCCTGGGTCCACACGATTTGATTGGATAGCAACGCTTGGAGCGATAAGACGCCGAGAGTTTTTGCCCTCTGAGAGTGGAAGATTTCGGGCCACTTTATCCAACGCCCGAATAAACCTTAAATAATGAATTCATAAGAAAAAAAAGAATAGAACGTAAAACCTCAAGAAAAATAGGGAAAATAATAGGGGCGGATTTAGGAATTTTCTAGGAGGCGGGGAAGGTAATGTTTTGATTCAGAAAATATGAAATAATTATTTTGATGATGTCACTGAAATTTTTTTTGCCAGAGCTGACCTAGGCAAATAATTATTTCAAGATAAGTTTGCTTCATCATAAGGTTGGAATAATTTTGACTTCAGACAAGTACTTAGGGAACAGGAGGTGGAAGGAAGGAAAAAGTAGTAGGAGAATCCGGATCCCTGGACTCCCGGACCCCCGGACCCCCGGACCCCCGGACCCTTCTTTTGAATCCGCCAATGAATAAGATTCCTCGGCGTAAAGTTTGAAACACACATTGATGGAACTATACTGGGTTACCAACATTCGTCGACGAACCTTTTACTTACAGTTAAACAATCGAACCTCGAGTCATATCAACAAAAGTCTGTGGCATGAACTTACTTGGAAGAAGATTTACTGGTTCGTTGACTCTCTTGTAAATCTTTCTTTTTCATCTTCATCACATTGTCGACAACATCTACAACGTCTTGGGCGGTCTTAAAGGGAAAATTTTATAAATAAAATAAGACAGACGATCAGTTCCCTCTTGATAAAGTACTTTTCTCGAGATATTGATGATTGTGCTTTTGATAAACTTTGGGCAAGGAAACTGCAATAAATAAAGGGATGTTCTGAACGCTACTGTTAAGTTCCACCCTTTCTTTCACTTTCTCATTTGACTTTCTTTCTTTCAGTTCTTGCTTTTACTGAAAAAGTCAGTGTCGTTGCAAAGTCAAATGTTCCCAAAAAGTTCGGCAGAAAGGCTTGCGGTTATTCTTCTTGGTCAATGCAATAAAAAGAATTATTTTTTGGCATAAGGTATTTTTTGCAATGTCTCGACTGCATAACGCTAGTCGTGGGATTATTCCGTTTGTATTTCGGACGGATCGACTTCATTTCGATTTTGATTTGATTTTTGCTGTTTCCAGCCGTCTTTGGACCACAGCGTCTGATTTCGGTTGGCTCCGCCCGAGTTTGGCCATTTATATTCTGTTCGTGTTTTACCTCATTTAACGAATCATCCAGTAACACAACACTGTCTATGACGTCAGCTATCAGCACCGCGTCAGCTTCGTTCATGTCATCTGGATCCGACGTAAGAACTTTCACTTCTTTAGTTACTTTGGCTGCGTTCTGTTTGTTCACTTTTGTCTGTGAAATTGGAAAGAAAATAGTTAATTTATGATCTTTCTTCCTCTAAAAGAATAGTGTTTAATCCGCACGTGAAATTGAGAAGGAAAGGTTACCAAAGTATCGAAATCTTGGTTTTTGTTTTCGAACTACAAATCGTTTAGGCTAAATTTCCACCGCCCTCTCGAGTCCGGTCTTCGCTACTTCCCGTGGGGGGAGAAGCGCGGGCTCGTTTTCCCGAACAGCGGCCAGTAATCGAGCTTACATATCGGTAGGCGGGAAGAACATTTCTCTAGCATGGTCCCTGGAACAAAAATGTTTAAGGTTGTACCTCGATTTTACTGCATAGTTAGAGTAACAACAGATATATTGAAGTAATGACCTACCTTTGCGATATTGTTAAGTTTATTTGTTCTTTCAGATTTGAATTTGCAGAAGCTCACATCCGGGCTCTTCCACATACCACCTGTCGTAAAGTTTCCGCCACAAGGGCGCGTGGCATTGGCCGCAGGCGGACCATACGGGCAACTTACAGGGGACGAAGTTCCACCAATCACAGTTAACTGCCACTCAAATATCCCCATAATAGATTTTTTGCCGGTTTCTTTCGACAGACAGTGAGCTGTGAAACAAAGGAATTCGCTCTTTATAGGTATGGTATCATCATTCTGGAGATTTTCAGTTAGTGCTGTGACCAGCGAATAGTGGTTGCGACACCAATAGAGTTTACACACTGACAGGAACCCATAATGAGCTCCTGACAAACATGCAATAAAAACTGAAGGAAAACGACCAAATATTATCCTGCCTTATATAAAGGCTTCCCTGAACTTGCCATCCAAGGCTATTGCAATTTCAAGTGAATGGTGGTAACACAATGGTTGCCAGCTGTGTTCATCACGCAATGTTTACACTCTCTTTAGTCATGCAATAGTACTCGATTAGCACAAGAACTCTTTGTGGTCACGCAATACTTACTAGCACTCCTTATCGTCACGCTATTGCGTGAGACCTTCAATGGTTGCAGTATGTTATCCATGGTACGCTTATCAGCCAGTAACGCCTCTAGTTTGCTGTAGTAAGGAACGATATCTTCATTTGTAGCTGAGCTGTAAATCACCAAGTCGACCCCCACTTTATTAAACGAGTCCCTGTGCATTGAGAGAAAACAGCATGTCACTTTTGAAGAAGTTATGTTATTATATTGTGGGTCATTTTTCTTCCACCGAAAATATTATTTATACTGGTATAAATTTCCTGCAAGGTCAGCTGCAAGGATTTTCTGATATCTCAGCGAGTCTATTGGGAACACATATTGACGGTTCAGACGTTTTTCTTTCCTTCGTCTTGTCCTTATCTTAAATTAGATGAAGGAAAAGCAGAAAATGACAGCACACACCTGAATTTTACAAGTTTGACAACATAATTCCACCCAGGGTTTCCACTGTTGAGGTAGTTTAGCAGCTGGAACAGAGAAAGAACGAGCCAAAATAAATAAATAAATATGTTAATAAATAAATAGCCTGATCAAAAGAGGAATGGAATAGGCAGGATCAGGCAAGAAAACCTTCCGTTAAGTCCTCAAGATTTAAGTCCCTTCCTGATTCCTCGTTTTGCAGCTGTTGTTTGATCCCGTCATGTAACGCGATTTCTACATGGCAAGACGAAAACATATAAAGGCTGCTAAGGAGACTTAATTCCTCCATCGTGAGGACTTTATTTTAACCCATCCCCGATTTAAAGTAAATATCTCTTCGTCAGGAGTATCTTGAGACCACGAAATTACCCACACGAAGAATGGATCCCTGATTCATGCCTCTCCTTAGATTTGAATCATCTAGTGGATATTTTCCAGATCCTTTAAATCAACTTACTTTTCTTTCAATTGTAATCTGCATGTCTGAATAGCTTGAGCTTCTTGGATTCAATAAATCATCCTTGAACTTTTCATTAACGATTCGAAATGATACTCTTGATGTAAAAGTATCTGGAGAAAAAAGTATACGTAATAACTAAAATTACCATCTCCAAAGAAACTGTCAAGACATCAAAAATAGCGTCATTATACTACCACCATCGTCGTCATCGAAATCAACTAGCTACCAAAAAACATCGCAATGTCATTTTTCTTGCCATTTACTTCAGTTCTTCTACCTGCAGCGCTTATTTTACGATGCCCAAAGAAAAGAGCTCTCCAATTGATTTGTTGATGAAAAAGCGCGCCACGAGCAGTTGCATTTTTCCACCGGGCGACCTCACCCCTACAGGTCTCAAAAACGTTTGTTGTCTTTCTTCTCGTTATCGACGTTACTGTCGCAGTAATCATCGTTTATTTACGTCATCTTCGCTGCCGATGTCAGAAGTCGTTTTCTTCATCGTCATTGTTCCGTATCGTTGTAACCGTCGTGGTTATTGTTCGTTCGATGTCGTTATCATCGTCGTTCGCATTTACACCGTTAACGATGTCCTCATCCTTGGTGATCGTCAATGTTCGTTATCGTCGTTTTCATTGTTGTGACTATGGTCGTTGTCTCTTTACGTCATTACCGTCTTACATACCATCATCCCAAAAGCAAGTGCTGCTCAACTAATGTTTCAGTGACGTAAATTTGTGAGGACACTTACCCTTCATAGTGACTAAAGCTGATGCAGTGGGTTTGCTAGTCAAATACGTCGAGAAGCGGCAGTAATAGTCACCTTGATCACCATACTGAAAACTGTCAATCTTCAGTTGGCTACCCGATTGTCCAATTGGCATTCCGTTCTTAAACCACATGACCGTCAAAGGCAGTGAACTGGAAGCGTTGCATTTTAAAATGACTTTAGCGCCTCTTTTCACAGTCTGAGGGTTTGGGGCCACGGTAATAACTGGTGGACCTGTGAGCATAAAAACAAAACATCAATATGATAAGTTAACACAAATGGACGAGAGGAGGAAACAAACCCAATCATGTTAACAATCCAGTCACTTGACGAAGACACGTGGTGGTATCTTACTCATACCAAAAAAGGCTGACACATGACTTACCAATACACTTTGAGTATATCCTTGCCAAATTTGCTAGATTATGAGGATCAGAAGAACATTCCATTTGCAACATCTCACTTGAGTTGAGCCGCTTTAGCCAATCAAATAAAGGCCGTAAGCACTCTTTACTTGGGCAGGAGTCAAGTCCCTTGACGGAAGAAGCATTCTTTGGACATCCCTTGGAGGCATCTTTATAAAAAGCTCGAATTTCTTTGCAATTGTCGCGTGAAATAAACTTGATCTTGGCAGTGTTTTCAGTTTTTCCCCACTGATCGCTGTCCGTGACGCGAATTTTTACATCAAAGTCGTCACCATTTTTAAACTGAAAATCGTCCGTGACTTCAATTCCCCCGGTCAGACGGTGAACACAGAAATAACTCATTGGCTTAACAGTGCCAGCACCTTCACAAAAGTCGTCAATGTCGCGCCGTTTCCGTTTTGACTCACTGCGTGACAACTGTTGTTGCGTGACATTCTCCATGTAAAACAACAACGGTTGAACCAAAGACTCTAAGCGCCCCGTGACAGTAACATTCGTGACGAGAGTTTCAGATTTGATGTCATAAGGCAGATAAACGACCTGGTCACTGAGCTGCAATGGATTTGT